TCTGGTATTCTCTGTTTCCAGCCAAGATCCATCTAACATCAGCTACAATATCTCTAGAACCACGACCCCTTCTGAAACCAGCCTGGACTTCTGGTAGTTCAGATACGGTTTAACAGATGTTTCTGAAAAGCTGATTCTAAGTTAAAGAAGTCAATCAAAGCGTCATATGCTGCAGGATTCCATTTATATGGAAAGTTTGGAATGGGCAACTCTACAGAGACAGAAAGTAAACTTGCCTAGGGTTTGAGAAGTATAAAGTGACTGCTCAAAGGCATAAAATTTCCTTTTTTCAGGCTAGGAGAATATGTTAAAGAGAATTGTTATAGTGTTTGTGTATGTGATTTATGCCAGTGAAGATGTTATTTAAGTGAGCAACTCTAATTTTTGCTTCTCTCACTTACTTAAATTCCAGTCAGAAATGGTATCATCATCATCAATTTCATCATCATCATCATCTTCCTCTTCAATTCCATCTTCATCATGCTGTTGAGCCACTGTCCTTGATCGATGAAAACGTGGCCTTATATCTTGTTCACTGTCAGGAATTGTCTCATCTTCTTCAACATCACCCTATTTTTAAAGAGAAAATTTCAGTCAGATTCATTTTAAGAACATGTAATTTAAAAAAAAAGTCAATGTAAATGAACATCCAGGAGTCATGCGTAGTTTGCAAAAAGTGTAGAAGATTCTCAAGTATATAGGTATAAACCACCTCCCCACCCCCTACTCCCCGCAACACATCTTTGTGGAAAGGAGATAAGGGTAACTAATACACAGAAAATTGTTAAGTACCAAGAACTTTCAGCCGTAGTACACTAGGTTTCATAGTCTGGTATAAATCATCTGAATCAAATTCAACCAGAATATTTAAGAAACTTAATTTTTAACTTATGTTGTTACAACTCCAAATAGCAATAGCTGATCTGATTATGAGTCACAGTAAACCTATGAACAGACGGTATTAATTGTGCCTGATCTTCACACTTTGTCATGTTCAAAACCACTGATGTAGCCATTCTGACTACCTAAGAGAAACAGTTTTCTTCTCTGTCATTGATTATCTTTCCCAGCATATCTTTTTCCAATAACTTACCCTTCCTGACAATATGCCTAAAGTATGTGAGATCATACTTCAGATCAAGTTTTATCAACCTTGCCTCTAAGAAGCGCTCTGGTTGCACTTTCCCCAAGACAGATTTGTCTGCTTTCAGGAGTGGATTGTGAATTCAAGAAAAACAAAATTCTTGACAACTTTAATCTTTTCTCATGTATTATCAATCTCTCATGTAGTTTTGAGGATTTTTTTAATGTTCATATTTGGAGAAATAAAAAAAGTCTATCAATATAACTTGATCTTAAATTATTCTTCAAAAAGACATCTCTTGTAAACAATCAAGAATTAGATGGTTGATTTAGATCCTCCCAGAAGAGCTGTGGGTGAACATTAACATTACTGGTAAGTATATTTGTTTTCTCCTGGACACAAGAGCCTATTATTTGGTCCTAAAAGCCTTACGAGGTCCCAAGTCTTCTATTTCTTAGTTGTTGGAATTGACGGAAAACCTCATAAACAGTTCCTTACTTCACCTCTGCCTTGCATGCGGACTTCCGAGCTGTAAAACCACCCAGTGGAAGATAGAATTTGCTCCAGGGCTTAAGAACAATAAATGACATAGTGGAGCCTCTTCTACATCTTGTGGTTCCTAACCTTTATACTATAATAGTCAAAGTGCAAGTCAATAGGCCTTTTATTTTATTTT